GCAAAAGGCATCCATCCCAAACAAAATAAAATGGCTTGAAAAGTGAAGTTGCTTTTTTAATCAGATGCTTAGAGGCTGAAAGACATTCCTTGCTGGAAAGAAAAGGGCGAGCGCAGACCAGGCTGGCGGCTTTCCAGGCAGTGGACAATATTGACTCTAGAATAAAATGGGTTTTGCTTAGCGCTCACCCCAGGGCACCAGTCTCCCTGCTTTGGAATAAATCAGGCAGGCGGGTGATTCCCCGGCACGGGCTGACCCTGGGGTGGCTAACTGTGTGCCACAGCATCCCCTCGCCAGACACACGGACACGGAGCTGGCGAGGGCTCCGTTCTGATGCCACTGCTCGCGGCCAGCTGGGGCTTCAGCCCATGACACATGGCGGGGGCTGGACCGGCTTGGACCGTTTTTGATGGGATGCAGCTCAACTCTGCACGTTCCTGGAAGTCAAAGGAAGCCACCAACAAATCAGGTCAAAAAATGGACTTTTAATCTAGGGCCCTTTCGCCACTCTAAAATCAAGTCGAAAAGCTAAAGCTGTGATCTGGAAACATGGCTTTAAAGATCTCCACTTCAACGCAGGCAGCAGAAAGGCCACCGTTTGCGTTCCAAGGAGGAGCAAAAAAATAACTTTGAAGCCACCAAAGGTGATGCCAGTTGGTAGTGCCTTCTCGATGCCTTGGGTTCAGTGCAGCACCATACCGCTCCTCCAGCCCCACGGGAGGCTGAGAGGGGAACCCTGGAAGGAGCCAGTGAGGGACACAGTAAGCCAGAAAACCAGGTTTTGGGAAGGTGCCTAGCATATAGTCAGAGCAAAGTACTTCAAAATTGTTCACACTGGATTTACCCACGAGTAAAGAAAACCTGACCAACCATATCTTAACTTTAATTAAAAGACAGAGACAGAGAATACTAATTCTGTGCAGTCCTTTAAAGGAGCAGTTATCATCAGGCCTGTTTTCTTCCCCCATATATTTCTACCTCAGGCTACCTGCACCTCTTTTTAGCGCTGGCAGCACTTTGCTTACGTGGCCACCAAGTCTGCCCTGACGTTTCTGTTGCCAGGACTTGTCAAAGCCACCAGAACTATCCTCTCTCCGATACAAATTTAACCTCTGCAAGCCACGGGCCTGAAAACCCCAGCCCAGAGACCCAGCTGTGAAAGACTGTCAGTAACACAGATGTCTGCCAGCAAATTACGGCTCCAGACAGCTCGGAGGGCCCGAGGCTCGTGCAGCAGGAGACACAGCTCTTAAGATGCCTTGCCAGCTACAGTACGCGTTTTGCGATGGTTGCTCAACCACAATGCACATGGGGCAAGGGTGCAGGGGGCGCAGTTCGCAGTCAGCTCCCACCTAAATGGGATTTATTTTAGATACATTTAGCACAGCGGATTTCTCATCCCAACTGCCACTGCAGAGAAATGAGAAAGGGTGTGAGAGCTGGAGGGAGAAGGGAAAGGCTGGTCTCAAAGCAGTTACAGGCAGCCTGGACTAGTGATGCAGTACACATTGCTGGATCAGTGGTTGTCCTAATGCTGTGGGGAAACTTGGCAGCTCTGCTACCACTGTGGGCTGCTGAGACAAAGCCAGTGTGGAAACTTCACATGAAAAAAAAAAAAAGAAAGAAAAAGCAAAAAGCAAAAAAAAAAAAAAAGCCCAAATGTATTATGACAGACCCAAAGACAATAACCTTTTGTAATCCAAACAAGCTGGGCAAGCCAAGCCATTGTTGAGAATCTGAAAAGCTCTAGAGCACAGGACAAGGGTAAAAATGAAGAAAAAAAAAATCATGCAGTTTCTAATAGAAAACACAGAAAGTGTCCTGAATTTTAAATAAAACAGTTCATTTTCCTGAAGCAACATCACAGCAGAGAGAGTTTTACTCCCTCTCACTAGAAGATTCAGTAATTAAGTGTAAAAGAGTGGCTGTTTCCTCCTAGCATCGCCTGCACCTCTCTACATGTACATGCAAATGTCAACACACAGTGTAGTCACTGACCAAAAAAAGGTTCAGACAATTCATCTTCTGCATTGTAAGCGATAAAGGTTTGGTAGCGTTTTAGCGTATCAAGATCTGGCTAGCCAAAGCTCCATCTGATGTTTTCTAGAAAAGGAATATATATGCTAATTTATTCTCCATGGTAGATACTGTCCTTAGAAATAAATGCAGAACAGACATGTCCTCGGCTGCCGTGCCCTGATACATCAGTTAAATCCAGGAACTAAGGAGGGAAGGAAATAGAAGCAAAACCCTTGCAGTGAAAAATGACCACTGTGGAACACCAGCCACCTCAAACCATCACCTCTGAGGGCCCACCAAGCTGGAAATCTAATGTCTTGTCCACAATCTCAACCGTTAAAAATGACTCAGACTTTTGGATAAATAGAAACAGATTGCTTCTCCACTGCTTCTCCACTGCACACACTTCGATGGAAAACAAGACTCCCTTGAGCAATCATCCTGCAAAAAGAAATGGATCCTTATTTAGAAGGGCTCTGATTTAGATAAATGTATGGCGATAGAGCAATTCCCTCACCATTTTATTGTCCTGAGGCAAACAAAGAGGTAAATGATGCACTAGCTGTGGGATATGGAGCAGCTAAAACATTTTGGGTCTTTTATTCAGGACAAAAACGTAGCTCCCATTTTCCATTTCCAGCTGAAGTCAAAAGGAACAGCAGGGAGAGGTAGCCTCATCACAGTCTCCACATGCTTTTGCTTGGCACAAGCCACCTCTTTCTGGGACAACACTGAAGTGAATTCAGTCTTGAATTTTCAAGTCACGGTTTAAGTATTTATTCTGGAATAACTGCTTACAGCTAGGCATATTTGTGCTAAACTGGTGGTAATTTTTGCATTGACCATATTAGAATCTGTAACTGGATCAACATGTGTCCTACACTTTAGGAAATTCAGAAAAATCGACAGGAAAATCAACTCTCTCCTCTTGCCTGCCATATGCTAGACTTAACAGAGTTCACACACCAGTACTGAAAAACAATACATTGAATCAAATCTGCCATCCATTTAGACTTACCCAAGCTCTACGTTTAAAATTTGTGTTCCTTCTTATTTATTTTTCTTCTAATGCCAAACAGTATTAGCTGTGCAATAAGCATTTTGAATAAGATAAAGTGCTATGCACAGATTCAGAAATGAGGTACAAACTGATATGCAGAATTATCTCTTCAATTTTTAACCATTTCAACCCTGTATGCATCCCAACATTCCGCTGGTGATTTTGACTGTAAAAATCACAGTAAGCAGAACTTCCACTGAGCTTTTTGACATGGCTCTCAAGTTCATTTGGAACCTCTAGTGTGCACAAATAGTTATTTTTCCCTCTTTAATGCTTTACTATACCAAGTAACACCAAATTTGATCGCTGTGATGCCCATTCATCTAAATCACTTAATTCTTTGCAGTTCCTCACGGCCCATCTTGTTAATTAGAAAAAGAGCTGTGGTGTCACCTGCCAATACTGCAACTTCAATCATTCTAACCTCATTTCCTTCCCAAACCACTAACCAACTGGGGAAATGCAAACCAGCTCCCATGAACCTGGAGAACCACTCTTTGCCTTCCAACCATAACGAAAGAATTCTGCTCTTGCCCTCCTCTCAGGAAGTTCTTGGCCTATGATACTTCTGTAGCTCTCCCTCAAATTATAAGGGTTTTTTTGGGGGTGGGGGTGTTGTGTTTGGGTTTTTTTCTTTGGTTGTTTTTTTTTTTTCTTTCCCAATAGCATCTCACTCTTGAAAAAGAGCTTTTGGAAGTGTACACAAAGCCATTCTTTACTGATGCCTTCAGAGACATCCGGGAGTTTAATAAGTAAACTCCCTTTGCAGAAACTGGGTGAGTGTCTCATGATCTTCCAAATGTTTTGCTGTTTAAGTCCTCAGTTGATCCAATGTTCTCATTCTGTTCCTATTCTTTTGCTCATGCCTGTAGCCTTTTTAAAATGTGAAGTCATCATTCTCAGGGTGAGACTGCATATTCTGCTAGCAGCTGTTCAAGATGACAATGATGGTTATTCCCAGATTAACATGTTCTGCACAAACACTCCAGATAATATTAAACTTAGATCATTATTCTACCATCAAAACATCATTATATTTATGGTCTATAAAGTATGGGACAAATCAGAAGCATGTGGAATTGTAGTTGCCTATGAGCATCCAAGTATCCAACCCTATAAGAGTTCAGGCTTTTTAACCCCCTCCATTCTTTCCCTTCCCGAAAGGACATTTGCTAAAGACACTAACGCACAAAACAGCATGGCAGTGAAGACTATTTGCATATCTAGGGCCTTTGCCTTTATAGGTCACACACAGAGCCCGCAACAGCAAGGATTAGGGCTTCTCTGAGTGGGAGTCACTTGAGAAGGAGCCTCTTGAACCGACACAGAACAATGACAACATTTAGCCAGAGACAAAAAACTCATCATTCTTCCTGTCTTCATTAAGTCAATGCTGTTCATAGAATCATAGATTCTGTTCCTTCAAGCCTTTCCATTTTAGGCTGGCTACGGCTTTTATTCAGATAGGCTGGTCTCTAAAACAATTTCTCAAGGATTACCCAAATCAGGGGTCAGCTGCACTGCAGTATGGGAGGCAGCTCTTCCCTTCTGCAAGTGTTCCTCAGCATGCAAAGATACGATGGCCCACTCATCCAGATTCTATAAAAACCTACTTCCAAGACAGAAAAGTTGTTTAGCTTTCAGGAAGATCCCCTGGCACATCTTCCCCTTTATGTGTTTGCTTCTCTTTGAGTGACCACATGTTAAAACGAACCGATGTCCTGGCTCTGGAGGGAGGTCAACTTACTTAAAACGTCAACTTCTAAAAGAAAAAAACATCTGAAAGAAGGAAAAACCTTTCCGTTTAGTACACAGGCGTACCCCTCACGTTTGATGCAGTTTACACTAATCAAAGACATGTACAAAGCAGACATTGATTGGGGAGAAGGCTAAACCCATGCTGAGAAGAACACATTCTTACCAGCCAGTCATGTTGAAGTCACGGTAGAGCATCCTCTTTCCAACTTCCTTGCGCTGCACCCTCCGTGGAAACTCTAAATGCGTGAACTCATTTCCTAGCAAGTGGGGCTGCATGTAAGCCTGTGGGCAGAAACCAAGCCACAGACACCACATGAACATCAGCAACCAAGACATCATCTATTTTTAATGAGGTAGCATTATCATCCCTTCCTGTTCCCTTTCCACACACACATCTGCCCCCCCTTTTTAAACAAAGAAGATTATGAGCTCCTTTTCAGCAAACTATGAGCACATACACCAGTTCTGACACTGCCTGGTGTCCAGCAGCAGCCTTACAGGGATCAGTCCTCCTGCCCTCAAAATCCTAGTTGCTTTCCCTGCCCCTTAACATTTGGGATTTCTAATGTACTCCTCATCCACTGACCCTGAAGGAGTCTGCAGGGCTTCATAAAACAGAACATATCTCCTTTCATAAGTCAGCCACCTGAGAGAAGGGAACAATCAAAGGACAAAGCCATAGAGCAAGTAGAGACTTTGAGGGGTGCGTCTGGAGTGAAGCTCAAGTTTTTTGACTCCCAGTTCAGTTAAGCCAACAAGGCACACAACCTAGTATTGCTACCACACTTTAATTTTCACTGCCTCGAAAAAATGTTCCCTTTTACCTGCTCAGTGTGCTGCACCCCATCACACATGACATGGCAAATAAACAAGAGTTGCAGAGCACTTTATATTCTTGTTTTTTTCAAAACAACGTCCTTCATGCAAAATAGACTTTAAGAAAAGCAGCTGCAATTTTGTGTCACAACCACAACTGATGTTTTTGATGGTGTTAACATTCGAATGCTGATGCTGCTGTCCTTTCTGAAGTGCTGCTCTGTGATATCGGGAGGCCTCTTTGCCAGAGCCGTGCCCAAGGCTGGTTCTCCAGAGCTGACCGTACTCAAGAGCATCGCAAGGCTCTTTGTCTACTACACAGATTTTTGGTTTGGATTGAAACACATCACCTGACACGACAGGTTAATCCTAAACATACTGTGTTTCTTCTTTCCAAAATAAACCTCACTCATTTTTCTTTATTTGCATAAACAAGCCTTGCCCCTTCCCTCCCCAAAGCCACATTGTGAACAAGCTCTTGTGAAGACACAGTCAGATTGGCGAGGGTACTGAAAAAAGTTGCATTTCTTAACCTTTCTGCAGATAACTCTTTTTCCTTATCCAGCCAGTTAAGGCAATAAAGTCTGTCTTATCTCCAGCAGCAGCTGCTGTCAGGGCAGACCAAATGAGCTGGCTTTAGTTCATGGGTTTGTCATAAATCTAGCGCTCATCAAAGGTGAGCAGCAGGAAGCAGTGGAAGCCCTTATTGATCTACCTGGCAGCTATCATGCAGATAGTTCACAATAAAATATTTCCTGCATTTAAGGGCCGAGCCTGCTCCCACTCAATTTAATAGGAGTTGGATCAGGCTCAGCACATCACAGTGCTATCCTTCCATCAGCTTGCCCCCATTCCCGTCGCCAGACATCCTTCCAGAAAACACCTCGAGCTCGGCCGAAACGGGGCTGAGGGAGATTGCTGTGGGTAGCCAACAAGACTGGATTCTGCTTTCAAGAGGCGGCTTTCAAGCACGCAAAGTGTGATCTTGACATTGTGATCCCTTCCTGGAACAGGAGCTCCATCAAATTCTCTCTCCGTATACAGTTAAGGGAATTAAATTTTTTTCCTGCAGCCTACAGTCAGCCAAGGTTCCTTCCCCCACCCAAATATTGTTTTCAAGGACCCTCTAATTGAATCACTGTTCTTTATTACAGAAATGGTTGAGAAGCACTACAGTGACTTTTGAGAGGTCTAGCAGTATTAGTCCAGACGAGGCTTTTCGTACTTCCAGAACTCTGGATTCTTTATTTAAAAGCACATGTAAACTTTTTATTTTTATTCATTTTCATTCCAGTCACAAAAAAGATGGAACATCCTTTATGGTTTATTTGATGTATTGCTACAGACTGACAGCAGAGCGCTGGACTCATTTTGGTACTTTTTAATTCTTTCTCATCTATGATATTGTAAACAATGAAGTCAGTCTGCTTTGAAAGTGCAATTCAGTTCACTTTTAAAAATGCACAGCCTATCTCGATTAAATCATTACAAACCACTTCTAGCTAAAGACTACTGTCGCTTGCCTATAAAACAAGAAGCCTTCTTTAAAGCAAAAAAACCTCATACCTGACATCAAAAAGAAGTTATTTAACCTTTACATTAGAAGCTTACTTATTAGGCTGGATCACAGGTCCAGAAGAAAAAAGTTATAGGCTTTTAGCATTTTTCCCCTTGAAAACAACAATTTCCTTTATTGAAAAGGTAAAGCGATTGGGAGAGACTGCATTTCATAAAGATTTACTCAGATGGAAAGTCTGAGGTCACAAGTGAAATAAGATTAATAAAGCTGGCAGAGTTACCAGTGGACTGCTAATGTTCAAATAAGATTTCTCTTCCGCAGCCAAGCCTCAATGGTTGATTTACAATCCAGGGATCTTAACTTGATTCTAATATTTTTGGCGTCAGTGGAACCGAGGGAAAAGAGCAATTTGGAAGCTTCTGGTGCCTGTGAACTGAATTCTTATGTGAAGAAATGGGGATTTTTTGTTGTTTTGTTTTTTTTTTTAATTTTCTATACTTTTTACCCTTTTCTTTTTTAACAGTTATTTTTGATGCTGCTCTGGTGGTTCTACAGAGAGAAGAATGTTCTATTATAAAACTCAGCTGTGACTTCCAGTCGGGTTTGTTGAGAACTGTTCTCCATTTATTACAAGGCAGGGCTCTTCTCCCTCTCCACGCCAATCAAACTGTGCTGGGCAGCAGAACCAGAAAATAAGTAAAAAGCAAAGCTTTAAAAATCTACAGATCTTTCAAGTAGATATACAAGCAGACACCATGAAATCCCCTCAAGTGATCAAATGAGAAACAAAAACAGTAAGTGAACTGACAACCAGAATTTCATCTGTCATGAGGCACCACTGTATTTTCCATTTTTTAATTTGTTTAGTCTCGATTTGCAAGAACCTCAGATCAGAAAAACCATTCACAAAACTTAAAATTTAATAAAAACAGGGACTATCAAACACTTTCTATATCCTTACGAGGTATGTTCAGACAACATTGTTATTCTGTGTTACAGAACCGGAATATTTTCCAACATTTTTCTTTCAGAAGCTATTACAGTTTTTTGGCATAAATCTGGCATAGTCTGCACCGTGTGTTTTTGGTACTCTGCCATTTTATGGTGTATATTTTGTGCTGGATGTAATATATTCAACATTAGTTGTTTAAAATGGAGTCTGCTCAAGGAAATATTAGTCATGTTTCTTTCAAAAGGCCATTTACTTCCTGCTGTGTTTCCTGGTGTTCAGCAAAGCAGACATGAAATTAAGATTAACCTAGACTTACACACTAGTGTGTCAGTTAATTAGGCAGCAGAGAACACTGCATGTATCTTATTGTACCTTGATAAGGCCTGCTGATGCCTCTTCCAGCTCCTGCAGTACGCACTGCTCTGGGACATCACCAGCACCAGCGGTTTCACCGTATTCTGTGTTATTTTCAGAATTGCTGTTTTCCCCTACGTCAACTATATCTTACAACTTTATCCTCTTATCATATTGTGCCATTCTCTCCAACAGGATATTCTACTATAGGGGACTACCGCTCATGCACAGCACAATGCATCTGTAAGTTTTGCAAATTACTCAGCCATTATCATATGGACACATATGTTTAAGCCAAACAAAGCTTAAAACTAAAGGAGGTGGTGGTAGAAGGAAAGAGGGAAGTGGGAGCCAAATCCATCCCTGGATTGGTCACACCTCTTATGAAAGGCCAGGACACTTTCCATAAAACCACACGTCTTACCACAGCATCGTGCAACATGTCAGATGGCCAAAGCAGTCCTACGCTGGGTGATGCAGGGAGCCACAAAGTGTGAGAGAATTAAGACGCACCTGACTTGTAATTGAAGCACTGAACTGACATTTAGGAGATCTAGGTTCATTTCCTCTTCAGGCTGGGGTTCCCCAAGCATCCTTCAGCAGATAAGTTAGTATCACTTAATCCTCACCTGAACAATGAAATAAGAATAGGTCCTCTTTGAACCAATACCTGTCCGGGCTCATGAACCTTTCTTTGAATGATGCCAAACATAAGGAACATCCACAGCTCGCTGCCACTGATGGCCACCCAGTCTCTAGTAGTAGTAAAGCCTGCCCTGGTGGCAGCAGTGTACCATCTTTGGTCTGAACTGTGAACTTCTGGGGCACTGCCTGGTTACACACATGGACACAGCATGCAGTGACACTATGCTGACCTCACATGACATCTTCAAAGTGCAACTTTAGTAACTAATAGAAATACACCCATCTACAATACATTCATTCATCATTCATTTTAAACACGTTTTCCAAGGGAATAAGTAACAAAATCTATGCCGTTTACTGTTGCAATTTAGACTATCGTGACAGAAATTAATAGTCTCCTCAGAAGATGAAAGGAAACTCACTGCTGGCAGTCGTTGCCTGCACAACTGCTGAATGTACCAGAGCAGTTCCCAGTCAATACTGGATTTTGCTCTCCCTCAAGATGATACACTGATACAGGAAGCCAGGGCTTTCCTGGAGTAGGCACTGTATGAGCTCTCCTGCCACACCGCTAAAAAGAAAAGACAGACACAAAAATTCAAAAGAAAAGGAGGCCCGTGAAAGCCTGCCAGTGGAAGGCAAGCAGTATGGTGCACTGAACCTCTACAGAAGCTGAAGGACCAAGGGAATACTGGTGCAAGGCTTTCAAGCCTTACATCTTAAAAAGGGCTCTCTGACTGAAGGATCGATTGGCTTCTGCAATACTCTCACAAGTCCCCTGACACAGGAGTCTGCCTCTGCCATACAGCCTGCCTGAAATCTACAGCTGTGTGTATGATGTTCTCCCACTGCAAAAAAAGGGGGTGCAGATGCAGACGGAGGGATGACCATGCCCAGAGCTGCTCAAAAGTCAGAATGACTGGGTGGTCAACTTGTTCTTTTGAAGTTGCCATGCCAGAGGCCTATGCCCAAGGCCATTCTTGGATACATGGCAAAAAACCTGCATTAAAATGGGAGCTGGATAGGGGAAACAAATGTTTCCCCTCCTCTCTCAGTTACTCAACCAATACTAGCTGAAGCAGAGTTTTGTCTATGACCAGGCTGGAGGACTTCATATAGAGATGCTCACATGGCCTGAACAACTCGTTATCCCGCAGATTTCTTTGCACATGGAAATTAGGGCCCAGAAAAGAGGACGTGAACCCAGATGATGTCAGTTAACCTAAACCAACATCCTGTGTTGCTGAAGCAATCAACAGGCACTAAATGCAGACCAAAGCTCCTTCGCCCTGACTGTGCCAACAGTGTCTACTGCACAGGGAGCCAACGCTCAGTAGCCTGCAGGCTGTAAATCCATACCCTCCCTTTGCCTGTGCAGTAACATCCCCACAGCGAAATGTATCTCTGGATTTACCCAGTAAAATATTAATGCTAAAATGACTAAGTGACTTTCTGCCTATTGTGCAGGAAGAGCAGTGCAACATGTTTGAAACAAAGAAACTCAGCTTTAACTACATATAAGAAAGTAAATCCAAAGTAAGTAACTTTCAGATAAGAACAGTAGAAGAGAGATGGTGGTGGTGCAAAAGATTGATAGCAGAACCTGGGGACAGCCAAGGTGAGTAAGGAGAATTATTTGGGATCTAATCAGCAAGATGGATTCAACCTTTGGAGTGTAAGTGTTTATGCCAACCTTGTAAGAAATTTGGGTGTGTCTTTTTTTTTTTTCTTTAAAAAAACCCAACACTAGAGTAAAAGTGTTACTTACAGAATGATGTTTGAAATCATCTTTAATTTTGTTTCACGCTTTTGCTGTCTTGCATGTATTTTCTTTGAACATGACAACCCATAGCCCTGGCATATTTGTTACATATAGAATTAAAATAAACAAAGGTAAAGGAATTTTCTAAAGGAAACAGCAGAAATGCTTTTCAGGTCAGCTGCTATTTTCAAATATAAGCCACAAAGGACATCAAAAGAGAAAAAAATCCCTTGTAGGCAATGCTTTATCTCATATTTCCTACAGAAGTAGCAGACTCCCTAGATACTAAAGATACCTTTTATTTTAAAGGCAAACAAATTATTTTAAATGTAACTGAACTGTAAATATTTATTATGCCTCTTTTCCATTTGGTTCACTGAATAAGAATGCTCCCAAAACAGTATTTCCTCTGAAATTTCAGCTTCAAGCCAGCAAACCTGACTGAAAATCAAATGTGACAATTGTGGAAACATTTGCAATTTTTCTTTAAAACCTTCCACCCATCCCTGCCTTCAACCACCGGCGTTCTGCCTAGGTTCAAACCACAGTGCTTGGGCCAGGCTGAAGATAAGAGACATCTTAAGAGCAGGGAATGCCACCAGCCTTGGCCTGTCCACCTCATGTCAGGCAAAGCTGACAGTGAGCCTGCCTTGGCTTAAGCTTAAATATCTAAGAGGAAAAAGCAGAATACCAGAAGAAGCACAAAATAAATCTCTCAGCCACGTCAGGAATGAAGTTTTGACAAATGGCCAACAAACTTCAATCAAATGGTCTGGCCATTGATGAAAAACTTAAAAAGTAACTGGATTGTTTGCATGAAAAATAACACCATGCATTTTGACTTATGTTTCTTGGGCAGCTTATCAGCCCATGCAACTTGGTGTATAAAGCATCCCACATCTCCTCAGCTAGTCACCCTGTCCCAGCTTTATGGGTGCTGCTACACTAAATAAAACTAGCCTTTATTCACCCATCCTATCCAGCAGCTACCAATGCTCACTGAGATTACCTCTCAGTTGGATATCTTTTCCCTGATCGAGATACTATTGACATACTATTAGAGCAAATGAACAAAACCCTGCAATATTGTTCACATGCACACAAAGAGCAGTCTGTGGTATTTTATGCTGTCACACAGTAAACACTGGAATGGATTGAAATATTTTTGTGGCTTGTTAGCTCTATGTCTGAGCTCTCATTATCCAACACCAATGAGCTGCTGAAGGTCTGCGGCTGAACAGTACACAAGCACAGCCATGCTAATTGATGGCATTCACAGAAGAGATAAGACTCCTTTCATCAGGATTTGCATCACCAGGCTTTTCTCCACATTTGCTAATGGCTAAAAGACATACGTGGTCAGTCACAGGTGTTCAGCAGACACGTGGTCCTTCACTGAGCCGCAGTACCTCAGCGGCATGTGTCTGAAACTTAGATGTTACTGGGCAATGCGTGTCAGCAGCAGCACCTGATTTGGTCCTCAGGTCTCTTACCAGATACTGAAGTCGCTGACGTTCGGTCTCTGGAGTGAATTCTGAAGACATTGGAATGACTTCGCCATTTCGGATTATTATAGCTCTGTAATAATAATAAAACATCATCAGTACAGAAAAAAAAAAGTAAAAAAACCCCAGAAAACCATAGGGGACAGTCACTCTTATTCTCTTCAGAGTCACAGTAAAATAAAGCCATTTCTTTTCTACTGAAGTTGTCAGCAGAACAGGATAATAATTCCTGCCCTGCATCCTTTAGGCTGGATAACAAAGTATATTTGTATATGCCAAGTTCATTTCACAGCTCACAAAAACATCCAAGCAACAAAGCAAGAGTTATTTCAGTTGATGTCTACAGGGTATCCTTATTAAGTGAAATGCAGACACCCAGAGGAGGTGCTGCAGAATCACTGATTGTAGAACAACTCTTTGCAGGTTTTAATCCCAGTTGTGGCTGACACTGTCTAAACTACTGGCTTCAAATGACTCATGCAAGCACTTTCCAGTTATTGATTGGTCATATGTCATGTCAGAACATTTCTACTCCAACAGCAAATGGAAATGGCAAAGCAAATCCTGTTTAACACAAATTTAACTAGTTACCTGCTGAAAGATAACAGGTAATGGAATGACTATAGATCAGCCAGGAGATTTCATAAGCACTTCTGCAAACGGCAGAGAGGACATGCTCTCAAACACCTGCCAGTTGCCTCTTAACAATCTGCTATGCTGCATACAAAATACGGTCCAATTCTTCCCTGGTGTAATGCCACTGGCTGATACACAGTCACAAGAGGGAAGAACTTCCCCTTTATTCCTACCGCATTCTGTGGTCATGTATTCACTCACAGAACCACGTTCTTCTATCCTCCCATTATTTACGCAGCTCTGTAAGTATAGTAACGCTTGGCGCTTTCGAAGAGCTGGATGAACTATGTATCATCCCAAAGATTTTAATGCCTGTTTTGGAGCTGTTTCTCAACCATCAGCAGATTAATTCAGTGTTTGGATAGTAGCAGAGTACCAGCTCTCCTCTTGAATTTGCACAGAACTTGGTGTAGATAAAACAAACAACTGTCGCTTGGATTCCAGTTTCTTTATGTTTTAAATGGTCTCCTTTCTGTAATCTTTTCATCCTGTTGATGTGATATTTACATGCTAGCTTACTTCTCTTGATAATTTGATGAATTTGCTGGCATTGCTTCTATGCCAGGTGTTCTGATGGCACTGCAAGGGAACCAACACATATGGTAGGCACAAGAAGACTGAAAACTTAACCTCTAAATTCAAAAAACACAGGCATCTTGAAAAAACCTGCCTGGGTACAAACCAGCTTTGTAAAATTAGTGTCACTGGATAAGCTTTTACAAACCTTCTGGGTATGATACTGGACTAAAATTGTCTCCAAATGATCATCTGCTATCGCTAGTATGCAAAAGGAAGGAGCATTATCAAAGAGGAAAGGAACCGTTCACATTTGAGATTCATGTGACAAAGGACAGGTACAGGATGGCGCTACAACGGGAGAGGTGGGAAAAGGCTTTAGTGATGAGGGGAAAACAGCTTTGACAAACAACAAATTTACTGCTCCTGGACTTCCAGTACTCCCTTGCAAACAATCCTGTGTAGAAATTAGAGATGGCAAGAGTACAACCTATATACTGAAGAGTCCCGCTGGCCCTCCACTGCTATAATTAAAAAAAATATTGTGTGCTTGAAACAAGACAGACAGGGTGGTTGTAACTCATTAATTTCTTAAGAGAAGTTTGTGCAGAATTTTTGATGGAATTTTTTTCCCCTTTATGGGATCTGAATACGTTACAGGCTTACAAAAATGCCAGTCCAATTAAAAATAATAAAGATTTGCTGAAAAATTTTCTTTCGGGTTTCTGAGACAGTCATTTAAAAACTGAATTAAGAATTTCACCACCACTTTTCTGCAACACCTTTGCTTTTATTTCTGCAATTCCCAAGGTATTTGGCTTTGAACCAGACTCATTTACTCAAAGACAGTGGACAGCTTTTATAAGCTTTTCATATGTAATTTGACTCATTTGAGTAGGCCTCCGTTTAAGGGGACTGTGGGTTTAGTACTGAGTAAGTACTCTGGCAACAGTCTAGACCAGACTGATCAAAGGAGCTGATCAGACACTACCCAAATTTTACACACTAACTTTAAGAGAGTCATAAGAGATCTACTGATCCTATGCTTGTCTGAAAGAGCTAGTATAAAAACCCACACATTGATATAACTGCTAGGATGTCAGGCTAATTTTTTAATTATCCTTTGCTTCCCCTTTAATCACCATTTCACAGGAAATCTATATTTTAAAGACCACTCAGACCAGTCTCAGGTTCACCTTTTTCTTTGTGCACACTGACATATTTCCTATATCCGTTGATAGCTATCATTCTCACTTCTACGGGTAGAATTGGGCCCTGAGGGACTCACATCATATAAAAAGCAATTCAGAGGCGAGTGGGTCAACCTTTCATGGCTCAACTTATTTTCACTAGAAATTGCAGCCACCTGGGATGAAAGCACAACCCAGCACAAAAAATATATCTTGGGGGGTGTGGGGGGTGTGTGGAATTAAAGCAATGTTGTTGATACCTGATAAAACAGAGCCCCAGTTTTATGTTTTTCATTAATGTTTTCAGCTGTTGGACTTTACTCAACTTGAAAGTTACAGCTGCTCAGAAGAGTCAAATGATTTGATCCGAGGAATTAGACGGCTCTAGATATGAGTAACGGGAGGGACAGACACAGATGTACATACACAGGTCACTGGTCTAAATTCAGCTCCGGTGGGCTCATTATCCTCTTACCAGGCTCTTTACCTTTCCACACCAGCTGCTTAGCAGTTTCATCACAGCAAAGGGTATTTCTGACAGCCTAAGTGACAAAACCGGACACATTCGTCGGCTGTCTCACCAGAGAGGCTGGGTGCAAAAGCCTGGCCTGGGAGCCACCCTGCTCGGTGGGATTTTCCCGTGATTGAAGAGATGCCGGATCAGGCCCTAATTGGGTTTGGAGACTGAACTGCCCTTTCCGTGACCTCGCAGTGACAGACCTGCCAAGCACCGACCGAAGGCTTTTCCCACTGAGCAACCTCCAGAGCCCTGAACTCAATAGCCCAAAGTCAATAACTGCTCACGGGGAGGGAGCCCGGCTGCCGCGGCAGCCGCAAACAGCCCAGCAACTGCTTTTAGAGACCTGCTCTATATGGTCCTGCAGGACAATTAATTCTGACTTTACGCTTCCTAATGGAATAACAAGCAACATCACGTTACACGAGCATTACTGCTTCTACCATGCATGAAAGATGCATGTATGCAATGAAATAGTGCTCTGAAAGCATTTAGCTCCCCATGCATTGTGGAAATATGAATGTATTATTTTATACCAGAATACAGCTGTCCTATTAAACTGTCAGAAATAGCTACATAGGAAGCAAGAACTCAAAGAGATGCATCAGAGAACATCTGATTCTGCCATGTTTAATAGTGACATTTTAATTTCAGCCACACTGGTGAAACACATTATAGCAGAGCCACAAGGCAAGCCTGCCAAAGGCAGCCACGTGATTCTTGTTGCAGGGAACAAGTACGTCAACACTAACCCAAATATTCTATGATGACAAGGTTGCTTCAGACCCATACCAATCATTAGTTTATATCACCAGTGAAGTAGTAATTAAAACAAAAGGGTTTTTGGCAGCCCCCTTGGTGCATGCCCCTCCAAGCTCTATGGCTCTGATGCCCTCTCTATGCAGCATCATCCACAGTGAGCAAAGAAACGGGAGAAACTGTTCTCAAGTCTTGAGGCCATGCAGGCCATTAAGTCACTTATTTTGATCCCTTCTAAAAACAAACTATAGATTTCCCTGAGTCCTCTCTCCTCTTTTGAACCCAGCTACCTAACACCCCACCCACGCAAACTACTGGATTGTACTTGCCCTCGTGTTTCACTCTGCACAGCAAAGAAAGTATGTTCACTAATTGGGAGCTGGTAAATATTCACAGAAAATAGGAATACATTTGAGGAAAAAAGTCCCCAAAACACAGCTGAAATAGCCTAAAATGGAAGAAACAAGAATCTGATTTTGTATCTCTCTTCTGGCGACTTCACTGAGTTTTTCTGGTCCAGAGGAGCTGTGCCCTGAACAACTAAATGTGGAGTAAGAGACGTACCAGCACCTCGGTGTGTAAGGCGGGACTGGCAGTCACAGCAAACCCTGCAGCAGGCTACGTCCACTCAGTCACATGCAAACGAAAAGAAACACCAGGAGCTTAAAAGGCTGCATGTAAATCTACAGAAAATACTACATTTATCTTTTGGATTGACATAACTGCATAGTCCATGATGATCAGATAAATTCATGCAGAACCTTAAGTATATGGTTATTTTCTATATTCAGATTCAATACTTCAGAACTGTATTTGGTGCTTTAGTATACGTCCCCTTCTAAAGTATGTGGTGAATGAAGCAATAAAAGGGTAAAAATCTGCCACTGTGTTGTACTCCTGCTGTCGTACTGAGGATGTAGCAACAACACTGGCTTAAGGAAAATATCAATATATCAATTGCTTTTGCATTTTTAATACAGATAAAACAGCCACCTCTCCTTGAATCAAGCAGGGTTTGTTTTTCTTCTTTTTTCTTTTGTGGAGAACACCATCAGCTGAGAACTGCACAGCATCCTTTCTGAGTTTCTTATGAGAAACAAACAGAGGGAAACTCATACATTTTAGAGGAAGCTATTGTTGGTTACTCTCATTTAATCATACAGAGAAAGAAACACTTTAGTGAACAAGGTCAAAAGTGTAATTTCACTGCTGTCATAGGTCTATTGGGATTCTGGTTTTCAAAACAAAGAGGCATCTCCTACTGTTAGGAGTATTCAGGGAACACCCTGATTCCATTACACACTTTTTCAGCCAAAAATGATTTGAAACACAACATTAAACTGCACATTTCTACAACAGAGGATAAAAATCTGGTAAAGGTGACAAAGAGAGACCGTTCGGAAAACCCTTTTTGACAGCATGTATCAATTCCAAGCCACAGGGAGGATGTATCCA